GTGGCCCAAGCTGCACTGGAGCTGAAATGTTCCGTTTGCCAGGCAAGCACCTCTCCCAAGTTGGCTCGACCGAGTCACTTAAAGGAAGAGCTGGATTTCAATGATCGAGTTGCCATGGATGGTTTGGAATGGACAAACAAACAAGGGAAAAGTTTTCACGTATACCATATGGTAGATTGGTCCACCAACTTTCATGTAGCCAGGATAGCCCCCGACCGTTCGACCACTGCAGTAATCCAAAATGTTGTTGACATGTGGATGTCATGGGCAGGAGCACCCTGTGAACTTCTGGTTGATGCCGCCACTGAATTGAATTCAGAACAGTTCAGCAGTTTTGTTCAGGGTCATAACATCCGGCTAACCACAATTAGTCCGGAGGCCCAATACCAGAATGGTCGAGCCGAGCGACATGGAGCCATCCTCAAAACAATGTTAACAAAATATGAAAGTGAGCAGGGCATCAACAACTACCATGAACTTTCTCAAGCCTTGTTTTGGTGTACTCAAGCAAAGAATACCAGCAGCCTCAAGAGAGGATATGCCCCTGAAGTCCTGGTGTTAGGCAAGCACACCCGTTTACCGGGAGCAGTGTGCAGCGATGAACTCCTACCAGCTCACCTGTTAGCTGAATCGGAGAGCGCACAAGGAGTTGCCTTCAGACGACAATTAGCATGTCGTGAGACCGCCAGAAGGGCGTTCATCCATGCTGACAATGATGCTGCTCTGCGCCGAGCCATGTTGCGGAGGTCCAGACCAGGCCAAACCCCTTACTCACCAGGTGAATGGGTCATGTGTTGGCGTCAAGGAAAGGGGGCCCAAGAAGGTTTCTGGGCCGGTCCAATGAAAGTAGTTATCCATGAGAACGCACAAACAATTTGGACCACTCAGGCCAGCAGACTATACCGATGTGCCCCAGAACATGTTCGACCTGTATCAGCCCATGAAGCACGGGAAATTCCAATACCCAACAGAGAACCTTCAGTATCTATCATTGCACAACAACTTCCAAGTATACAATCGCAAGGAATCACCAGAGCCGTTGAAATATCACCATCCATAATTCCCACAGAACCCATGGTCCCTGTAAATAATCCCGATAATGAAAATCAATCTGAAGCGCAACCTGATGGAGAACCCGAGGCATCCACTCATCGATCACAGCCATCCACTTCCAGTCTCACACCACTAGACAATTCCAATAACCCTGAACTGGCCAATGATAACTCCATGGATAATTCTCCCGAAGAACTAGACCCCACCAGTACCGCATGATGATGATGATGATGATGATGATGATGACCTATACTGTGAGGGATACCACTGCCTAGACCTCGATGATGCCATGTCTCCGCAATCATCCGAGCATGACCTGGCCTGGAAATGCGAAGTACATGTCACTGACTCCGACATCATGGCATGGCAAGAAGAATCGGATCCGACTGAAATGGCTTTCGTAGCTTCTGCAGCAAAGCGCCAGCGAGCTGAAGTCCGTATGTCCGAACTGACTGCAGCAGAAAAAGCCCAGTTCCAAAAGGCCAAGGAGAGTGAAATCCAGAATTGGGTAAACACCGGCACCATATCCCGAATCTTAAGGTCCAAGGTTCCACATGAACAGATTCTGAGATGTCGTTGGATATTGACCTGGAAACCAGTGGATGAAGAACAAAAAGGGCCCAAGAATGACAAACCCCAAACCTCAAAAGCCAAGGCGAGATTGGTGATTCTTGGTTACCTAGATCCCAAACTGGAAGAGTTACCTCGAGACTCTCCCACACTTGGCCGAAATGCAAAGATGCTGTCTTTACAACTAATTGCTTCTATGGGATGGATGCTGCGGTCTTTCGACATAAAGGCTGCTTTCCTACAAGGCAAGCCACAAGCTGGACGAACACTAGCCATTGAGCCTGTTCCCGAGCTCATACAAGCCCTTCAATTATCCACAGACGAAGTCTGCAAGTTGGAAAAGGGGGCTTATGGCTTAGTAGACGCACCATACCTGTGGTTCATGGCCATAACAGAAGAACTCAAAAACCTCGGGTTTATTCAAAGTCCTTTTGATCCTTGTCAATTTCTCCTCCGCCATGAGAGAACCAACAAGTTGTCAGGGGTGATTGGACTACATGTAGATGACGGTATATGCGGGGGAGATGAGTTTTTCGAAACAAAGCTTGCCCTCTTGGAAAAGAAATATCCTTTTGGTTCGAAAAAGATGAAACAATTCACGTTCACAGGAATTGAAATGAATCAGCTTCCCGATCACACCATAACGATGAGACAGACCAAGTACGTGAATGCCATTGAACCAATTAGAATATCTCTTGACCGCAAGGGACAAGGTGAAAGCCCAGTCACGGAAGAGGAACGACAAAAGCTACGAGCCTTAATAGGTAGTCTTCAATACGCCGCAGTTCATACAAGGCCAGACTTGTCAAGTCGTTTAAGCCAATTACAGTCAGCCATCAATAAAGCCACAGTCCAGACCCTCAGTTTTGCCAACCAAACACTTCATGAAGCAAAGAAACACAGTGAAACGACCATCAAAATCCAACCAATTCATGTTGATGACTTCCGATTCCTCGCCTTTTCCGATGCATCCTTCGCCACGAAGGGAACACCAAATGCACACACCGGTTGCATAATCATGGGAACCCATAAGTTGATTGCCCAGAATGTTTCCTGTCCTGTAAGCCCTATAGCCTGGGGTTGTAAGAAGATCCAACGTGTGGTCACCAGCACGCTTGCAGCGGAAACAGTATCTCTCAGCTCGGTTCTGGATCACTTGTCATGGCTACGTTTATGCTGGGGTTGGATGCTTGATCCATCAGTGAAATGGAAACAGCCTAGTGATGCCCTTTTAAAACTGCCAGAGACATTTTCCACCGCCACATATCGAGCTCAGAACTTGCCTGAGAGTGTTGCAGCAACTGATTGTAAGAGTTTGTATGATTTGGTAACCAGGACGGCAGCTCCAAACTGTGCCGAGTATCGTACCCAGCTGAATGCCAGAGCAATCAAAGATTTCCTGTCGGAAGGAGTGCAACTGAGATGGGTCCACAGCGGAGCCCAACTCGCGGACAGCCTGACTAAAGTCATGGAAAGTTCATTCCTTCGAACCACCCTCCACCACGGTCAATATAAGTTACATGATGAGCTGGAAATTTTGAAGAATCGAGCCTCTTCTCGAAACAGGATCAAATGGTTGAAAGACACGTGTACGACTCCGTTGACCGAACATGGCTGCAATGATGACTGTTTATTAGCAATAAACAATGGATTTTTGGGAGTGTGAATCCACATCATTGCAGTAACCCCTATAGAGCCTTGCATACCATGTCTTCAACCTGCCAGGTGTTTTCCAAGTTCAACAAAAACCTCATGGGATACCGATAGCACTTGAGGCTCAGGGAAGCCAAGGAGTGGATAGCGGGTGGGATTCATAAGTGCTGTGGAGCCATAACAGTCTACTTGGTTTGGGCGAGGACGTCCATTGAGCCGGGGGCTCACGCTTGTCGATTGGGGCATCACCGCCCTTTGTTGCAATCCCTTTCTGCTCCGTTTTGGAAAACCTTGCAGCCGAGACCTTGTGGCGGATCCAAAAAGAGAAGAGAGCGTGTTCAAGTGGGAAGATCTTGCTGGAAGCTACCAGGTGGTTCGGTCTAAGACCAACTACAATATATATATATACATATGTATATATATATATATCATATATTGTATATTATATATATATATGTGATATATCCATAGGTCCTAAGTTGTTTAACGTCATCTGACGGCCATGGCACCTCGCCAAGATCTGGTGGCTGGCACCATCCTGGCCAACCTGAGAATGTGCAGCTCTGACCCACCAAAAGTCTCTTTCCAAAAAGACAGCGGCCTGGCTGCCCCATGCTGCTCAGCTATTCAACCTGTGTTTCATACAATCACCCATGCTGGTGCTGAAACGAAAAGTGCCGAGAGAATGATAATTTTCAGCTGAAAATATGGTGATGTTGGGATTCCATGCGGATTTTTTACATTTTGAATTGAGATCTGCTGCACGCTTTCAGCTCTCAGCTTGGATTGTCATCTCCTCATTTGCTGTCTCTGATGCCAGAATGATGCGGAAACAGGGCTGAACGACGTGTTTCCAAAACATGGTCCCCGCACCCTTTGGATTTCATATGATTTCATCATGCCCCTGAAATGGCACAGGCCACTGCTTCATTGTGTGCGAACGGTTCTGCTGAGAGTGCACATGTGACATGGGTCATTTCATCAGGGTATAGTACATTTGTTTGAACACCGCAATAGTTGGTGCTGGATCTTCCCCCCAATACAGTGGTACAGCCAATGCCATAAACCATCATAAACCATCCCCAAAATAACCATAAATGCGTGGTATAAACCATCCCTAAATGGTAGGCTATTACCATCTCGCCCACGCGACATGGCCTGGTGCCTGGTGGCAGGTGAAGCTGGAAACCCACTCTCTTTTGCCACGCAAAGGCGTGAGTTATGCTGTGAAAGGTGCCATGACAAGCAGCTGTTGCGTGGGTCACTGTAGCATCTGTCATCTGGCCTGTTCATCTTTACAACCTCCAAAACACCCAAAAATGAAAACAAGTGGATCCAAAAATGCCGGACTGGCCAAAAAAAAAAATCCACTGACCAACAAGACGTGACCCACAGCCTCAGTGCTGTAGACTGTACACTATACACAATGTCGGGCATCTAAGTTGCGCAGAAACATTTGCGCAGAATCCCATGCACGGTTCCGTGCAGATCTGTCCAGCGGTCCCATCTGAAAAAAAAAGACTCCCAGCTAAACTGATCGCAACCAAACCAAGAAATGTTTCTCCCATCTGAGATTGGGGCTCTATATTCTTTCTGGGATGCGACCTCGCTCTCGTTGGTGCTGCGGAATCTCCCGTGGCGGTGTTTGAAGTGCAGGGCCACTTCTGATGAACAGAGTCAAACCTGAGAAATTTCCCAATTGGTCAAAGACGGGAACGTCATCAAACCCAATTGTGTGCCCCTCACTGTGTGACACGCCACATCACTTAGAGTTCCCATCGACTTCATCAATTGCAGGCCTTTTGCTGCTTGAAACTGAGTCGCCTTTGTTTTTCACCCATCATGCCCTCAGGCCGCATTGAGCCCGGAAAAACTGCCTCATGCTTCCATGAGGGGTTCTCTCCTCGCGTTCCGACAGTCCTCCTCCAGTGACGTTGGCACCAGCGCCACCGGCGGCGCCGGCGCCACAGCCGCCGGGCTGCGCGCGCGTGCATTGATCGCGCTGCGAGCATTGATCACGCGCAGCCCTGGGAGGGAGCAAGCCTTGGCGTTGGGAGGGTTTGGTGACTCCAAGATGTACCTGTACAGTTGGTGCAAAAGAGCTAATATCTATATATATATATACATATATATATATATATACTATGAAACTGGTGTCACCTCCAATGCAGAAACCTGCAATCTCTCACCTGTCAGCGCCGCCAAGCGCAAAACTGTTTTGGCCTCCACCGCAGCAGCTCTTCGAATGGATCGGGCGCCTCGCCCAGGCAAACGAATGTGGTCCCTGCCACAAGTAGCTGGTGGCACCAAGAAACACGTCCCGCCCACCCTACGCCAGGGCTCTCCTGAGCCAGTGTTCTGGCGGATGCAAATGCCTCATAGGCAACGAATGCACTGGTGATTGAAAGGACCGGGTGTTCAAGAGTTATCTATGGATTAGTTATGGGGAGAGCAGCATGTATGGAAATCACACTCCCAAAAATTCTTCTTTATTGGTAGAACTGGTATCATGCTGCTCACGAAGCCATTTGATCCTATCTCGTGTCTTGGCACGGGCCTTTAAGGTGGCCTCCTCATCGCAAAGACGATAGGTACCTACCCTAAGCGTTTCCCTCAAGAAGTGTGCATCCATCGCCTTGGTTAGCGAATCAGCGAGCTGAGCACCGCTGGACACCCATCTCAAGGCAACACCCTCTTGCAACGATTCCTTAATGGCACGAGCCACTAGTTGTGTTCGGAATTCCGTGCATGAAGGTGGGGCTGTTCGAGTGGTCAAATCAAAAAGGCTTTTGCAGTCTGTTACTGCTACATCGGGGTGTTCTCGAAAAGTTGGGCTAGAAATTGCTTCAGGTATCTTTTCAAGGGCCTGCTCAGGGTGTTTCCATTGAGTCTGACGGTCGTGTATCCAGCTCCAAAAGATTCTCAGCCAGGCCAATTGATCCAATGCCGCTGACAATGACATGGTCTCTGCAGCTAAGGTACTGACGACTACCTTCTGTATCTTTCGGCATCCCCATGAAATTGGACTAATTGGACATTGGTGGTTCTTAAGGATATCTTGATGGGTACCAACGATTACCAGGCCAGCATGTGAATCGGGTTTGGATGCTGATGAGAATGATGCATGAGAAAATGCCATGAAACGGAAATCCTTTTCGGGAATGGATTTGATGGTGATGGTCATGTCATGGTACTTCTTGGCTTCATGGAGGAGTTTGTTGGCTTCCTGAAGTGTTTCAATTGTTGCTTGGTTGATGTTGGATTGTAACATGGAAAGACGGCTTGACAGGTCTGGTCGGGTATTGATTGCTGCATATTGTAAACTGCCAATGACTCCCCTCAGTGCCAATCGTTCTGGTTCTGTTACCTTGAGGTCAATTTGAGTTTTCCGGTTTGGATCGATGGCAATCGGAGCGATCTTTCCAACATATGCTGATTGGCTGAGTACAATACTACTATCGGCCCGTTGGTTGACTTCAATTCCCGTGAAGGTAAAACTTGACATTTTCTTTGACCCAAAAGGAAACTTCTTTTCAAGCAAGGCAATTTTCTGATGATAATAGTCATTACCTCCCCCGATCCCATCGTCAACGTGAATTCCCAAAATACCTGCTATTTGACCTGCTTTTGAGGAACTTTGAGGCTCTCTGAGAATAAATAGGCATGGATCGAAGGGGCTTGTTTCAAATCCCAAACTTGTCAGTTCCTTGACCAAAGCACAGTACCAAAGGAAGGGTGCATCGATCAGGCCATATGCCCCTTTGTTCAGGCGGCCGATCTCATTTGGCTTCATGGACATGGCCTGTCGCATTTCTGGTACCGGATCTAGGCCCATCACGCGGGACGACTGTGGCTGTCCCTGCAAGAAGGCGGCTTTGATATCGAAACTACAAGCTTGCCACATGTGGGTTGCCAACACCTGTAAGATTAACATCCTTGAGGTCTTATTCAGGGTGGGGCTATCTCGTGGAATATTTTCGATTTGGGGGTCTAAATATCCCAGGATAACCAGTCGGGCTTTGGCTTTATGGGATTTGGTCTGAGTTTGTTCACTTTGATCTAGTGGTTTCCAAGTCAGGATCCAACGGCTACGGAGAATCTGATCTTCGGGGATCTGATTTCGTAAGACCTTGGTCAGAGTACCGGTTTGAATCCAGTTGGCAATTTCAGACCTCTTGGCCTTTTCAAACTCCATCCGCTCTTCTCGGGTGAGCTCAGTCAGTTTGACTTCAGATCGCTGTTTCTTAGCCGACGTGGCTAAGAGCAACCAGGTCTCTTCTTCGCTGGGCAAGTGCTTCTCTAAAGGTTGTGACAGCGGTATGTCAAACTCGCATCGCCAGGCAGCATCAATCCCATCTGAGCATGTCAAAGCATTTTCTGGTTCATGGCAGGTCAGTCCAATGATCTCTGGTTCTTCTGTGTCACTGGGTGTTGGAGTTGACGTTGGTGGACTGGCATTTTCGGCTTCAGAATCGGGCTGGGGAATGGAGTCACTAGAACTAGATCCTCCGGGCATGTCTGGAATTATTTCAGGTTCAGGGTTGGGGTTATTATTGGTGGAAGTGGCTTGATTACTGTTATCACCGATCTGAGGGTTATGGTGATCATGATTTTCTTCAGGTAAATCAAGAGTTCTTTCATCTTGGTTTTGTTCCCGAATCTGCAAAGCCTGTATTTGTTGCTCATGTGGCGTGACATCCTCTGGAAGATCGGGACCTTCTGGCTGTCCTTCCTCTGGCATTGATGGGCGGACATTCTCCGGCGCACTTCGATAGATCCTACCACATTGCGTTGTCCAAACAGTATGGTTACCGTCCTGGATAATTACCCTTTGGGGACCTAACCATTTCTTTTCCCCCACATTGATGGTTCTCCAGATCATCACCCATGAACCTCGTTCATATTGACCTCTGTGGGGACAGGATCTTCGAAGGACGGCTTTTCTCAAAGCATCACAGTTGTCTGCGGCATGGTATGCCCGACGGGCTGTCTCTCTCAATTGAAGGGTTCTTTTGAAATCACCGATACTGACTTCTGATTTCTCTTGAAGGGCTTGGAGGTGGCTTGGGACACCTTCGTCATTCAGTATGGACCCTGGCAATCGGGATTGACGACCAAACACAATGATTTCTGGTGAATATCCATGACGAGTGCTCAACATGTTCTTAGCGGAAGTACACTGATTGAGGGAGGCTTGCAAGTCATGATAGTCATTAATCCCCATTTCTTGGTCTACTCTCGAAAGCATTGATTGGAGGAAACTACCATGTCTTTCCACCCGGCCATTTTGCCAGTGAGCTTCAGGATTAGTTGTAGTGCATCGGATGCCATATTGCTGAAGGAAATTTTGGAATTCTTGGCTGTTTAATTCGGTACCTGAGTCTACCACCAATTCGGATGGAATTCCGGCCCAGCTGCACCAATGTTGTTGTAAGAGTCGAATGATGTTGGTTGATGTATTGGATGGGGAGGCAATTGCAACATGGTAACTTGAACCTGCATCGAGGATATGGTAAAAGTGAAGGGTCTTTCCAACTTTATTGGTCCAGTTGATGGCATCCAGATAAATCTTATGGTTGAAATCCAACACTTGCTTCAGAGCCGCTGGTCTTTGATGCTTCGGTGGAGAGCACTTAGCACAGGTTACACAGGTCAGCTCACGAGCGGCTTGAATTATTTCCGGTCTGTATCCTTGGGTTTGGAGGGCCTTGCACAATCTTTCATTGCTGGGATGACCCAAATTGGTGTGCATCTGTCGGAGCATTTGCTTTTCCCAAGGAGCCAGACTCTGGAAACGGAGTCGAGCTTCAGTCAGCTCAGAGTCCGGCGCTGGATTTTCCACTGTCGGTGTTGGGGATTGCTGCATTGGTTTGTCCACATCAGAAGGCACGGCGGGTATCACTGGTTCTTCGACCTGTGGTGGACTGCCGGGCACAACATCTGCGGAAGCATCTATTGCATGAGGTATCGGCTGATTTCCTACCGGTGGTGTCACGGCTGGAGCACTGTTCAGATACCGGTCACGGCCAAACACGGTAACATTTATTTTGCACGGGTGTGCCGGACGAATCAACTGCCGATTGGAGAGTTGATCCCACCGTTCCCAGTAGGCTTCAAACTTGATTTCTTTGGTTTCGCGGATTTCCATGATGGTACGTCTGTATGGGGCTTCTTCGTGATGGAGACCAGTTGGTGGTCCTAGTATTCTGTCGGTACCCCTGCAAGCTATGATACGGACTATTTCTTTATCATGGAATATTTCTTGGATTTGACTCCAGGCCGTATTGGATCTGATCTCTCGCTTCCCTACTCTTGGCAATTCCTGTTGAATGGTCTTCATGAACTGTTCACACATTTCCTTAGTCACATGAGGACTATGCTTTCCATTGATTCGTCTTCTCTTGGCCATGGTCTCGGTCTCTGGCAGTGGGCAAATCAGCTCGGAACGAGGGAAACGGTCCCTGACTGTTCGGCTGCCAGTCGTGGCAGCATGGATTGGCTGATCCGGTTCGGCCGCACTACGCAGGTGGATTTTGGGATTCCAGTGAAACGGCTTTTCACCCTGCAGGCGCATCATGGTTTTGGCAATGGTCCGGGCAAACTTCCTAGGATACACTTCTGAGAACTTGGTTCGCAGAATGGCACCTTGGTCATTGTAGGTAGTTCCTTCGATGGTTTGATGTTCATGTTGATGGTTACATTTCATTCCATGAAGTGTTTGGTACATGGTCGGTGAAGTGGTCATGAGTTGCATGGCCTTTTTCATGAACATTTTGTTCACTGGATCTCTCAACCCCCCTGCCTGACACATATCAAACTCACATGTCTGCATGTGTTCCTGGAGTTCACTCATACCTGGCTGTTTGAACATTAGCGACCGGCTCGGCTGTTCCCAGTGCATGTGATCCCCATTTGATACTTGGTGGCGGTACAACACTATCCCCATAGCCAGTTGATACAGCATGTCGTGTCGGAGCGCTTGATGATCTTGCCAGTGTTGAAGTGACAACGATGCATTCAAGTTTGACCATGATGACCATGGTCCGCACACTGGACTGTACCAAATGCTTCTGGGGCGATGAGTGCCTATCATGCGAAAGAGCTTACCACGGCCCTCTTTAGTGGAAAGATCCCCTTCTTGATATCCGAATCGAAACCCCTTGGCACCTAGGTTATGGATTTGTTGGATGATCGGTGATTGGGAACTGCAAAAAATTTCACCTACCTCCCATCGGGATCCTAAAGGCTTGGTCTGTTGCAGTTGGTCTTCGAATTCTTTGGATATCTGAATGATCAATGAGTTCAGTGTGCGTCGATCCGCATGCATTGCCGTGTGACTTTCAGCCTGGGCATCTAACATCTCACTCACTGGTCCACACATGGCGGCTGGCTCTTCTCCTCGATGAACTGGATGACACGGCTCAGGGCTTGCTCCATGTTCAGCATGCGATCTTGCAGGGCTTGAATGTTCTCGTTGACCATTGGATCTTGGTTCGTAATCTTCATCTGTGACTCGCACATCTCTCCACTCAGCCATTCGTCCTCGGAATCCCCAGTAGGTGCTGAGCCGTCGGGGACCGGGATGTTGAAGGCCGATGAGGTCTTGGCCTTTGCTTTTGCTGCCCCCTTTGGGGTATTGATGGGAATCATGTTCATGGCCTTCTTGGTCACGGGGACCGGCATCTGGGTCTTCTCGTGTTCGGTCAGCTGCATGTCGACATACCGGAGAAACTTCCTGTGACTGAGCTTCATGCTCTCCTGGTAGCGACTCACCATGAACATGACCCACTCCTGATCCTCGTGCCACACCTCGGAGTATGACCTCCCCTTGTGCTTGCCTCCGAAGTCCACGACCTCGTGAGCAAGTTGCTCCCGGGTCAGGTGGTCCAGGTCGTTGGTCTGCATCGGCTCCTTCACCTGCATGGCCTGGAGACGCTGTTGAAGCGACATGGTCAGCGATCACAGATGTTGCGTCAGGGATCGGTTCTGATGCGTTCAAAACTGCTGACGGTCGGTCGGCTGAGTGGTTGACACTGGTTGAACTGTTGGTTGACTCATGAAGGGAAAACTCGTTATCACTGGAGGGAATGTTAACACGACTTTGGAACTGGCATGGTTTTTCCTGGGCTTTCAGTGGTTGAGTATGTGGATTGTCTATCTTTGGCTGGTCACTGTTCTGTGATATGGCTACCTGATCTGGATTGGACTGTTTGGCTTGGATGGGTGGCATTCTGGTCACCAACACTGTCGGCATCTTTTGTTCGGCTTCTTCGGACACGAACGTTTCAGTCACGATTGGTGCTGCTTCTGTCGGAGTCTCTGGTATGGCATTCAGGGCAAGTTCACTCAAGTTAATCAAAAACAGACCCTTGGCAGTTAATGTCAACTTGATTGGACTCCGCAGCAGTGGGCTGTGCATCATATTGGTGCGGCAATCGATCTGGGCTGACAAAGCACGCATCAGTGAATTACTCAGGAGAAAAGGTGTCCCTCCAGGCACTATGGCAACTTTAAGCAACAAAGAACCAATGGGAACCATGATGGCGTGTTTGCTTTGGAGTGTACCTTGGTTTCCAAATCGGAATGTCACATGACATGCACAACGGGTGACCTGTTTACGCACCTGAGGGCTCAATCCATCCAGCAACTCTGCAACATGCTCGCTTCCAATCACCGTCTTTGAGGCACCTAAGTCTAACACTCCCATGGCACCGTACGTTGCAAAACAAACATGGCTTTCATCTTGGGCTCGGTTGGACATTTGATGCTCAGGTGGGTCCTCCTGACCTTCCACAAATCTAAGACCTTGACTTGCCGGTGACTGGATAAGTTCCGGTTGGAACTTTCTGGCACGGATGACTGAAATCTTGTGTTTCAGTCGGCTTCTGGCGGAATCGGATGCACTACATTGGTCAGGCTGCTTTGGTGCCGGCTTATTCCTGGAAAGCCGGGCTTGGAGGCGATCATGTCCTATTCCTACAATATTCCCCTTATTACCACTTGATTCCTTCTGAATCCCCTTATGGTTAGGTTTATATTGTCCCCAGACATGAAAAACACTCACTTCACTGGCATTAGTTTGAGCAACCCTGGTTTCAGTGTCCTGATCTATGGAACGGTGCATTGGCAGTTGCATGACCTCCATCGGCAGGACGTCGGGCTCGTCATCGGCATTCTCGGTGACCACTGTGGTCGTGGGTGCTGTTCCCGGTGTTGTTGATCCGGCAGTGGACCCCTGAGAAGTCCCTTTGTACGGACACTCGGCCCGCCAGTGTCCCTTCCTGCCGCAGATTCGGCAGTTGCTGTTGAGAATCCGATCTTGAAGGCTACGTCGAGGTCGGTTGTCGAAGGCATTTTTGCCTCCTTTGCCCTTGTTGAACTTCCCACCCCGGCCTTTTCCAGAGTGATATGACCCTTTTGACGTCGGCCAGAACCCTCTGTTGCGGAACTTTTCACTCAATCTTCTGCACGCATCTTGATAAGCATTGAAGGCTTCGGCCAGTGATGGATCATCTTGCAGCGTTTCAGACGCTGCCAGCTCAAAATCAGCCACTAATGTGGCATCCTCATCTCCATCATGAGCTAGTCCATCAATGAACTCATCCTCATTGTCATCATGTCCTGTGGCAAAAGTGTCTTCCGGACCATCATCGTCATGAGTTTCAGTGAGAAGGGCGGATTGTTCATACACCTTGGTGCGTGTGGTTCGTTTTCCCCCGGTCATGTCCTGGAAGAAATGGGCTCCCAGCAAGCGGACCGCTTCATTCACCCTTGTCATGGTTAACTTCCCTTCCAAGCTCGAATCACTCTCCAGAATGACCTTCTTCTTGTCTTCGGGTGAAAGTTGGGATCCCCTTAATACCACATAGGCCTGAAGATCTTCTACCTTCAGTTTCTGTGCTAACAGCTTCATCCATTGGACATCTGCCCTTGCCAGGTATGAATCATTGCTCTCATCAGCACGTTGGACTGTTCCAAACAGAGCTGTTTCAGCCTCATGGTACTGTTTTTCCAAACTGACACGGCCCCCATTGGCCTCCGAGCAACTTGATCAACTGCTGTACTGATTTCGGATCGTTCTCGGCCAACAGTTCTGTCTGGTGCAGCTGTAACTTCTGGAAAGCTGTTCCTGTGCAGTTCAAGATCAAGCGCGTTGTGAGTTCTGTGATTCTGGTTTTCGGCCATGCTGCAAGAACCAATTCTACCTTCTGCTGGTATATGGTCATGTCATCCTTGCTTGGATCGAACGAGGGCACAAGGTTTGCCAGCTGATTCGATATTGGAGGATCTCCACCTGAAGCTTCTGACATCTCTGCCCCGGATGCTCCCGTAGGAGCTCCGCTACCAGTATGAAACTGGTGTCACCTCCAATGCAGAAACCTGCAATCTCTCACCTGTCAGCGCCGCCAAGCGCAAAACTGTTTTGGCCTCCACCGCAGCAGCTCTTCGAATGGATCGGGCGCCTCGCCCAGGCAAACGAATGTGGTCCCTGCCACAAGTAGCTGATGGCACCAAGAAACACGTCCCGCCCACCCTACGCCAGGGCTCTCCTGAGCCAGTGTTCTGGCGGATGCAAATGCCTCATAGGCAACGAATGCACTGGTGATTGAAAGGACCGGGTGTTCAAGAGTTATCTATGGATTAGTTATGGGGAGAGCAGCATGTATGGAAATCACAATATACATATATATATATACATATACATATACATATATATATATATACTGTATATTATCTATATTTCAAAATTATCTGTGTCTATTTTTACATCGTAATATATCATAGTATCTTATCTCATCTCATATCATATCATGTCATATCATATCATTGAATGTATTGTATTGTATTGCATTACATATTGTATTGCATTACATATTGTGTTGTATCGTATTATACCGTACTGTATTGTACTGGATCGTATTGTATCGTGCTGTATCGTATTGCATTACAAATTACTATATTGTGTTGAATTGTATTATTGGTATTACTATCTGTACTTGTATTTGTATAGCATGACTGTGTGTATTTGCATTTAAATTCTTATCTGTATTGTATTGCATTGTAGTATATTATGTGTTTATCATGTACGTGTATGTGTATTTACACAAAACATGTGTATATATATATCCATATAGTCTATATATATATAGTAGTAAATATATATATATGCTATTTATATATACTATATATACTATATAGTATATATATATACTAGTTATATATACTATATATATATACTAGATATATATATATACTACATATATATATATATACTATATATATACTACATATATATATACTATATATATATACTACATATAAAAACTATATACATGTACTTTATATATGTACTTTATATAGAGATATATGTACTATATATATATATACTATGTATATTATATATACTATGTATATTATATATACTATGTATATTATATATACTATGTATATTATATATATACCATATGTACTATGTATATATTATATATACTATGTATAATATGTATATATACACACTATACTACTGTATATACATGTGTATATATATATACTACATATATATATATATACAACATATATATATATATACAATATATAACAATTCCATTGACTGTCACCACTCTGTGATTCTTCACCACCAGAAGGACGGTGCTGTGGAGCTTCTTTGGGTATTGCAATCTGGGTTTATATTCTTTGGTTCTGCTGAACAAATTGAGCAGTGGGAACTCCACCAAGTCATGATAATGTTGGTGCATCCCAGCATTTCCACCCCAAAATCTACTCAAATGGTCCATACAGTATATAGATGTATATCATATGTTTTGCTAGGAAGTTGAACAAGCTTCCAGAATAGAACATGGAGACATAATGGTCCAAAATCATTCGCCACACAAATGAATGCCCAGAAATGAGCACATTTGTGTTGTGTCCACTTTGGTCCCCCATTCATCCCCCTCGTTTCCAGTCCATCTGGCCACCATCTGCAAATTGCCAAGCAGCAAGGCAAATGGCTGCAATCACTGTCACGATGTACAGGGGAAGGTATCGACCCAGAGGTCCCCAACCTTTGGCGGCGCGGAATGAAGCTACCAACCCCTGGTCTCTGTATGGGGGACTCGAATAGACCCTCCTCTATGTAGATTGTAGAGATCATGATATAACCAGAAAAGGTTGTGATGACTAAGTAAAACAACAAAAAAAAATATCCACTTGCAATGGTTCCAGGTCACGGAATTGGAAATTAAAGACCCTATGGAACCTTCGCCTGGGATTCACTAGAAAGGTCGTTTGACTTTCTTGTTGTTTCTCGCCCAAGTCAATGAAGGTTTCCGCCATTTGACCTTGGCGGATTGTTAGATGCACGTTATTTGAACCCGGATTTCTGTACAGCTTTGGAGGGGAAACCTGTTCGGTTCCCGTTTTTTCGTTGCACCACTTCACTTGGCGGGTGTCATCAAACATGGCGGGGAAATCCCCGGAATGTAAGTTTTCTAGTTCGGAAAATCATCTATGAATGGAGGTTTTAATGGATAAATCATCTGTAAATGGAAGTTTGAAAAGGTAAATCATCAAAATGGTGGATCTTCTAGCTAATCATGTTTGACTACCACAGCGTAACCTCCTTTGGGGAAACACATTAGCACACTTGGCAAGGCCAGCTCTTTGACAAGCCGCTGGTACTGATGCTCAATAGCACCTGGGATGCGAAACAGTGTGGCCAGCAAAAAAAACCTAGCACCTTCACATGCCCAAAGTGGTGAACATTTTAGACTGATTCCACCCGAATTGCAACTGCAACAAATTGGGGAATTGTAGAATCACATGACCAAAAAATCGTGTACGCTAAAGCAAAACTGCCTGATAAATTGATCCATATCCGCACCGATGGGCTCTACAAGTCCTGCTTCTTCACTTCCTGCTGCTATACATACCAAGATCTCCCAATGACTTAACAAAAATGGTTGGTACTACTGTCAACCCTGGATTGATTAAATCCCGATTTACTTTAATTTCATTGTGCCCCTAGATTATGTTTTTAGACTTGTAAACCGATATCAATGCATGGCTTTATTAATCCTGGGTGGCCGCTGTTTGAATCTGAATAGGCATCTCATCTCGTAAGCAGTTTCTAATTCATATGACGATGTATAAATGTGGATATTTCCATCCATATATATATATTATGTATGTATATATATATATAGATAAATGGATAACATGTTCTTATATCTCAGTTATATTACCATACTCGCACTATATACATATATATGATAAATATATCACTATCTATATATATATATGTATATATATATATGTATAATTGTGTATATGTATATGCATCATGATATGTAACATTTTATTTGAGTTATACCACTAGTACCCGCAGGAGGCGGGGCGGAAGCTGCCTTAGGGATATATAAGACCTTTCTCATCTATAGAACTTGCATGCGCCGTGCGCCAGCCAAGCCCGTGCGTGCGTGCGTTCTGCGAAAGTGGTGTACTTCGCACTTCACACTTCACACTGCACTCTTCACACTCCAAACTTCACACTTCACACTCCACACTTCACACTTCACACTGCACTCTTCGCACTTCACACTTCACACTTCACACTTCACACACTTCACACTCCACACTTCACACTTCTCACTTCTCACTGCTTTCTTCACACTCCACACTTCACACTCCACACTGCGCACTGCACTCTTCACGCCCCACACTTCACACTGCACTCTTCACACTCCACACTTCATCTCATCTGAGCTCTTCTCACCTTATCCCAGCTCATCTCTTCTCATCTCATCTCTTCTCATATGTCATCTAAGCTTTCATGAGTCACTTCCCAGCACTACTACTAAGGAACTTGCATGCGCCGTGCGCCAGCCAGGCCCGTGCGTGCGTGCTTTGTGCGAAGCTGCTGCAGTATTGTTGTCCAAGAATATGACCTGCGCGCGACCCCGGTGCAATGCAACGCCAAGCGCAGACTTTCCTCACACTTCACACTGCACTCTTCACACTTCACACTTGCACTTCACACTTGCACTTCGCACTCGACACTTCATCTCATCTCAAATCATGTGAGCTCTTCTCACCTCATCTCAGCTCTTCTCATCTCATCCCATCTCTTCTCACACGTCATCTAAGTAAGTTCTTCTCAACTGCTTTCATCTCATCCGAGCGCTGATCAACTGTTCTCATCTCCTTAAAGTTCGTCTCAACTCATCTTAGCTGTTCTGCACGCCAGAAAGCTCTTACTGTCAGAGAAAAGTCTCTTGCACAAAAAAAACCATTGGGTGCAGAAAGTTTTTGCAGACAGACACTTGAGACACAGATGCATTTACATACAAAAGCCTTTCCGAAATACTTTGTAATACAAAGCTTGCACAGAGCACTTCCCAGTACTACTTTGTAATACAAAGCTTGCACAAAGCACTTCCGAGTACTACTTTGTACTTCAAAGCTTGCACAAAGCACTTCCGAGTACTACTGTGTACTACAAAGCTTGCCAAAAGCACTTCCCAGTACTACTTTGTACTACAAAGCTTGCACAGAGCACGACCCAGTACTACTTTGTACTACAAGACTTGCACAAAGCACGTCCCAGTACTACTTTGTACTACAAAGCTTGCACAAAGCACTTCCCAGTACTATTGTAATACAAAGCTTGCACAAACTACTTCCCAGTACTACTGTGTACTACAAAGCTTGGCAAAAGTACTTCCCAGAACTACTTTGTACTACGAAGCCTGCACAAAGTATTTCCCAGTACTACTTTGTACTACAAAGCTTGCGCAAACTACTTCCCAGTTCTACTGTCTACTAGACGACGGATGGCCCGAGAGCGCAGAGGAGCAGGGTCTTCTGTTGTTAGTATTGAGACACTATATTACTTGAGAAGGGGTAGTTGTGTCACAGGGGACGCGGGGGATCACTCAGTGCGAAAGCCGACATGCGACCGGGCCCTTTTCTGCTGACACCAAGCCTTAGGCTTGTCAATATGGACGTCATGCGCTAGCAAATCACCGCTTTGACAGAACGAAGGGAAAATTTCTGTCCAACCGAAGCATGGAGAAGCGCCGACGTTCCTTTGCTTCACCCGTTTGCTTGCAAAAGTTAAAGTGACGTGGCAAATGGATGTCGAAAAATCCGAATCGCAAGTCGAATGATGATGATGATGATGATGATGATCATGATGATGATGATGAGGATGATGATGACGATGATGCTGATGATGAGACACTGCGAAGGGGCTGCTGCGTGAAGAGACGCACAAGGCATGTGACGAGAGTTCACCTGGGGGGGCATGGAACTGGACATTCAGAGCAGAGCCGAGATATCTGGATCCGAAAAGAGAGCACCGCACGATGTCCATGGTTGCTCATCACTTAGTCCATTTAAATAGCCATTTGGAGGTTCAGCGTTAGCACAAACTGCAATGTCTCTTTTTGCGGTACCTATGGATGCTCGAACCTGTCACTTTCATCGCACCGTTGGGTACTTGGAAAATGGATGTCGAAAAATCCGAATTTCAAGTCGAATGATGACGATGACGATGACGATGATGATGATGATGATGAGGATGATGATGACGATGATGCTGATGATGAGACACTGCGAAGGGGCTGCTGCGTGAAGAGACGCACAAGGCATGTGACGAGAGTTCACTTGGGGGGGGGGCATGGAACTGGACATTCAGAGCAGAGCGGAGATATCTGGATCCGAAAAGAGAGCACCCCACGATGTCCATGGTTGCTCATCACTTAGTCCATTTAAATTGCCATTTGGAGGTATACATTGTCAGACACACGCATCGTGCGGGGAAAAAAAAACACGATCAGTGTTAGCACGAACTCCAATGTCTCTTTTTGCGGTACCTATGGATGCTCGAACCTGTCACTTTCATCGCACCGTTGGGTACTTGGAAAATGGATGTCGAAAAATCCGAATTTCAAGTCGAATGATGATGATGATGATGATGATGATGATGGTGATGATGATGATGATGAGGATGATGACGATGATGCTGATGATGAGACACTGCGAAGGGGCTGCTGCGTGAAGAGACGCACAAGGCATGTGAGTTCACTTGGGGGGGGGGGCATGGAACTGGACATTCAGAGCGGAGATATCTGGATCCGAAAAGAGAGCACCCCACGATGTCCATGGTTGCTCATCACTTAGTCCATTTAAATAGCCATTTGGAGGTATACATTGTCAGACACACGCATCGTGCGGGGAAAAAACACGATCAGTGTTAGCACAAACTCCAATGTCTCTTTTTGCGTTACCTATGGATGCTCGAACCTGTCACTTTCACCGCACCGTTGGGTACTTGGAAAATGGATGTCGAAAAATCCGACTTTCAAGTCGAATGATGATGGTGATGAGGAGGAGGATGATGATGATGATGTTGATGATGATGATGATGACGAGACACTGCGAAGGGGCTGCTGCGTGAAGAGACTCACCAGGCATATGGCGAGAGTTCCCTTTGAGGGGGGGAGCGGGGTCCCTTTCTCCTGGTCGTTCAGGGATAAGGGGTCCAGCCCGCCCCTTTGCTTCGCAAAGTAAAACTCAAGGTAGCCCGCTAGGAGGCTACCTTTCGTGACAAGACAATATATTTAAGATCTATTATAGGCAGACGAGAAGAGCAGTATCAACACAATATTTTACAAGTACAAGACAATAGTTTGCATCGTATCCTTCCTAAAGTTTTCCACACAGAGCCTTTTACACACAGACGCTTTTTCACACAGAAGCTTTTACACAAAGAAGCTTTTACACACAGACGCTTTTACACAAAGAAGCTTTTACACACAGACGCTTTTACACACAGAAGCTTTTACACACAGACCCTTTTACACACATACGCTTTCACACACAGAACTTTTACACACAGACGCTTTTACACACAAACACTTTCACACACAGAAGCGTTTACACACAGACGTTTTTACGCAAAGAAGCTTTTACAAACAGAGACTTTTACACAAAGAGGCTTTTACACACAAACACTTTCACACACAGAGACTTTTACACACAGAAACTTTTACACACAGAAGCTTTTACACACAGACGCTTTACAGACAGAAGCGTTTACACGCAGAAGCTTTTACACGCAGACACTTTTACACACAGACGCTTTTACACACAAACACTTTCACACACAGAGACTTTTACACGCAGACACTTTTACACACAGAAGCTTTTACACACAGACGCTTTTACACACAGAAGCTTTTACACACAGAAGCTTTGACACACAGACCCTTTTACACACATACGCTTTCACACACAGACGCTTTTACACACAAACCGTTTCACCCACCGAGACTTTTACACACAGCAGCTTTTACACACAGACGCTTTTACACACAGACGCTTTTACACACATACGCTTTCACACACAGACGCTTTTACACACAAACCGTTTCCCCCACAGAGACTTTTACACACAGCAGCTTTTACACACAGACGCTTTTACACACAGACGCTATTACACACAGAGACTTTTACACACAGACGCTTTTTCACCAGACGCTTTGACACAGACGCTTTTACACACAGACGCTTTTACGCACAGAGACGCTTTTACACACAGGCACTTTTACACACAGACGCTTTTACACACAAACACTTTCACACACAGAGACTTTTACACACAGAAACTTTTACACACAGAAGCTTTTACACACA